TTCCCATCGCGTCAGTCGAGAGGAGACCCCAGGCTGTAGCTTTATACGTTCCACTCCAAAATCGACCATGAAGCTCAGCGGTGAGTGGGGTCTTCCTAGCTAGCACCTACAGCTGGCCGTAAACAGTCGTTTTCAATAGTAACGGATTTGTTCAGGAAGCCTGAGGTTTTGTTACAGATTGACCTTGCACAGGGGACACTCACCATTTCTATCCAGCTGTCTGGGAATCTAAACAGCCCCGCGAGACTGATGGCATCGCAGGTCTCTTGCATGTATTTAACTTTATGCCCGTGTCCTGCCTTGGATGTGAAATCTGCAGTGGGGTTATGACGCTAGACGAGGCACTGCCAGTGAGCCAGAGAACTGCCACTGAAAGTGAGGCCTCAGGTCCTAAGTGGGATTGCAGCCGCTCTGCTAGGAACTGTCCAGAGGACAGAGGCCGGGAGCAGAACTCAGGCCTAGGTATTCTTACCGCTGCCGCAGCGCAGCAGTGGGGAAAATGGACTGCGTGACCCCTCAGGTCCCTTCCTGCCCTACATTGCTGTGACTCTATGAAACAAGGGTTCCTTTCCTGGCTCTTCCCCCCACCTGCTGCTTCCCTTCTCCGTGCCTCAGTTTCCCGATAATGAGTCTCCCCTCCTTGGAGAAGCTGCATTTGTGACAAGAGCCACCTGTTAGTAGCGGGCGTCTCCTCCTCCTTCCCATAGTCTACTTAGACTGCCAACCTTTCGAGGCAGGGGCTGTTTGTTGCTATGTGTTTAGGAAGCAGCTCCTCTGATCTTGATCTGCCCCTCCAGGTCCTACTGGAATACAAATACCGGTGGAGCTCCTTGGTGGCAGCTACGAGGGGACGAGGTGTAGGGAACACCCAAGAAGGTGGCCGTGAGGAGACCAGCGAGCCGGTCTCTGGGAGTAGAGGTGGTTTGTGCTGCTCTGGTTTTGCAGAGCAGTCCCTGTGCGCCGACCTCCTGCAGAAACGGTTGCCTTTCTACCACTCTGCTGTAGTCCCAGCTTTGCCTCCCCCTGTCACCAGAGCCCAGCCTAGGCTGTGAGATTGAGAATCCCACCAGAGACGGGTCCGATGTAACCCATACGGGGGCAGGATGGATTCTCAGAGACTCTACATCGAACAGCTCATGGGATTAAACTGAGCAAACTTCCAACATCCGGTCTGGCTTTCTCGAGCCCAGCTAGAGGGTTTGGGGAAGCTTGGAGGATCCCGCGGAGACAGAATCCCAGGATTCTTGCTGGGAAAGTATGACATGTGTGGAGTGTCTGTTGTCTGAATTGCTGCATTTAAACCTCCGTTTATGGCCAATATGCTCCCATGACAACCCCCACCAAAGGGCTGGACTCCAGGCCCTACTCCTCCACAGCACTCGCCTCTGCCACCCACGCCGACAGAGTAACTCCATCCCCTGGCAGCAGTAGTCTGCCTTTACCCCCTCCGTGGGCTGGAGAGTGCCACACCACACACTTCACAGCATGCTGCACTGTCCAGCCAGGCCCCCAAGTTTGCCAGAGTGCATGTGTGCATGTGTGCAAAGGGAGACTTCCGAGACGCCGATTTACACACCCAGAGGCCTTTTGCTGGCGCCAAGAGTTGGGGGTGGGGGAACTTCAGGAGCTGGTTTGAGACGTTGTTTGTGAAAATACAGCCCACATGTCCCTGGGGGTGGGAGGGAGGTTACAGGATCTACCGCGCGCAGGGTTTTAAACTCCCTCCCCTGCGAAGTCCCATGAGGAGAACACCAGAGACAGCGAGCGTCTCTCTGGCGGTCATTGGCAGGGGCCGCGCAGAAAGGGGCATCAATCCCGATTTTCGCATTTCCTCCTCTGGCTCCCGCAGCCTGAGCAAATCACAAAGCCGCTTCACATCTCGGCATTCCTTTCCCTCTGCTCAGGCTTCCCCGGCCAAGCTGCGGGGGGCGTGCGTCTCAAAACTCCCCTTTCTCTCTCTCCTGGGGCTTCCCATCAGCTAGCTGCCTGCTGGAGAGAGGAAGCGGGGACAGCCCAGTCGGGAGGTGCTCAGACGCTCCTGACTGGAAGGTTTTAAACACTTTTCAACTCAGCCACCGTTTAAACTCCTGCGGTCTCCAAAGCCTCCATGTGGCTGGCAGGAATATCCCGGGAGCGCCAGTGCTTAGCAAAGGTCGAGTCAGATGTTTTCAAAGTTGCTGCGTTTCTGCAGGTGCAATTTGCTCCTATTGTATCCTATATAGTATCTGAGCTCCTTCCAGTCCTGCACTAAGTCAGGGGTGCTCAATGTTTTTCTATCTGAGCCCCCCCAGTCTCCCCCCAACTCTACGGCACACCTGTGCCACAACAGCTGGTTTTCTGCATATAAAAGCCAGGGCCGGCGTTAGGGGCAGGGCAGTTGCCCACGCCACAGGGGCTTCCGGGAAGCTAAGTTGCTCAGACTTTGGCTTCAGCTCGGGTGGTGGGGCTTCAGCCATAAGCGCCAACTTTCCCCGGCGCCACCCACCCCCGCCCCCATTCCAACCCCTTCCCCAAAGTCCCCGCCCCAAGTCCGCCCCCTCCCTGCCCCTATTGGACCCCTTCCTCAAATCCCCGCCCCGGCCCCGCCTCTTCCCCGAGCGCACCTTGTTCCCCCTTCTCTCTTCTCCCTCCCAGCCACAGGAAACAGCTATTTTGCTGCACAAGCACTGGGAGCTGGGGGGGAAAGTGGGCATGCGGCGAGCTCAGAGGAGGAGGCGGAGGTGAGCTGGGCCGGGGGGCGGGGAGCTGCCGGTGGGTGCTGAACACCCACCAATTTTTCCCCGTGGGTGCTCCAGGCCCGGAGCACCCACAGAGTCGGCACCTATGGCTTCAGCTCCATGCAGTGGGACTTCAGCTTTCTACCCTGGGCCACTGCGCGTCTAACGCTGGTCCTGTTTGGCGGCCCCCCCGAAACGTGCTCACGGCCCTCAGACCCCTGGTTGAGAACCACGGTGTTAAGCCATGTGACCACACACCCGCCCTGTGTGTGTTCTCTCTCCTCCGCTCGCTAGGAGAAGCATTGGAGTGGCTTGGTTTGATCGTGTGTGTGTCGGGTGGGCCGAGGCTACGTCTACACTGAAACCGCTACAGCAGCACTTACTTACTGCAGCGACGGGAGGGGGTTTGCCCATGGCTGTCGTTAACCCACCTCCCCGAGAGACAGCAGCTAGGCCAACAGAAGAATTCAGCTACCACCTAGTGCCGTCTACACAGGGTCTTAGGGGCGGTTTAGCGACATTGCTCAGGGGTGGGGATTGTTCACAGCCCTGAGCGATGTCGCTGGGGTGATCTAACGTAGACCCGCCCTGAGCCTGTGGAATGAACTTCCCTGGGAACAAGGGACCATCACAACCCTCCCCACTTTCCAGTCCACGCACAAAGCTCATTTTTTGACCTTGCTTCTGAGCTCTAAACACAGAACAACAGGTGCATGTGCATACCAGCCCATGGGGTGCTTTGAAGAGCAGGACTGTGACTTTGAACTTGATTCAATAGGGCAAAGGTCCAACCCCCGGCAGGGTGCTTGCAGGCTGGACACCTTCCGATCGGTGTGTGACATTCAGCCAGCCTGAAATCCACTAGCACGGCAATGAGATGCATTCTGGCCTGAACCTTTTAAAAACTCTGCTCTGTATAGTTCAAACGCTGGCAATTTATACCCTAGAGGTGGCTGCATTTTACGGCCGGGCGAGGTGCTCCCTCTGTGCTGAATGCAGCTTGTCATCACTTAATAACGTGTGTTGGTGTTAGAGTTGCAAACTTTGGCATGAAAAGGGCTTTGGGTAATTTGGACGTTACCCTTGCATGGCTCTGGAGGCTGTTATGTCCCATCTGGGCTCCCATCCCCTAACCTTAGGGTCACCTGGTGCAAAAGATGAATGCCAAGTGAGGTCGTAGATGAGCCAAAATTATCAATCTATCTCTATCGCTCTACCAAGCTATCAAGCTAATCATCCCAGGCTCTGCCCAACCAAGTGGGCAAAGAGGACTTCCCCACCACCACCACCACCTAACGAACTTCAAGGGGGTCCAAATGATTGTCAGGAGGCCAAAACCTGTAAGGTTATCCAGTGTTAGGCAGTGGAACAGCCACAGATTAGAGAGTCTTCGTTCGTTAGTTAAATTACAGATCACAGCAAAATATTGATACATTTGCCTGATCTTTTCTTTATTAAACTGTTAAAATCCAAGCGTTCCCAAGAATCTAACTAGCCTCTGGACTTCTGATTGGTTTTTTTTTAATTGCAATATCCAGGGGACCCAACATCCCCACTTATCCCATGCCCCACCGTAACGGGACCCCAGAACTGGCCTTGATCTATGTATCTACCTATCATCCGCCTGACCCTTAATAGTTCAACCAGACCTAAAAATTGCTCAGCTTGGCATGTGGAAGCCACAATGCCCCATGTGCCCCTCATCCTTCTAGTCACTCCCCCATTATCTCCCCATCCAGGAGAACCGGCCAACGGGAGCTGGGGAGGGCGGTGCCTGTGGGCGAGAGTCTAGGAGCCGGACCTGCTGCTTCAAGCCTGCCTCTGCACCCCCGCTGAGCCGCGGACTGGGAGCCGCCTGAGGTAACCCCACACCCCAATCCCCTGCCCCAGCCCTGAGCCCTCCCAAACCCAGAGCCCCTTCCTGCACCCCAAACCCCTCATCCCAGCCCAGAGCCCCCTCCCACACCCTGAACCCTCATTCCCAGCCCCACCCCATAGCCCTCACCCCCGCACCTCAAACCCCTGCCCCAGTCCAGAGCCCCCTCCCACACTCTGAACCCTCATTCCCAGCCCCACCCCATAGCCCTCACCCCCGCACTCCAACCCTCTGCCCCAGCCCTGAGCCCCTCCCACACCCCAAACCCCTCATCCCCAGCCCCACCCCATAGCCCTCACCCCCGCACTCCAACTCTCTGCCCCAGTCCAGAGCCCCCTCCCACACCCCAAACCCCTCATCCCCTGCTCCGTTGGGTCGTGGGCATCAGCAATTTTCTTCAACTGGGTCGCCAGAAAAAAAAGTTTGAAACCCCCTGTCCTAGACTGGCCATAATCAGAGCGCCCCCAAACTGGTGCCCTCCTCTCCCTCCCAGAAGCTGCTTTTTGTTCTGTCGTCTCTGGCTTACTCTGCATTTCACAATTTCAGATTTCGGAAGCTAGTCAGCCGAGGACGGGCAGAGGGCTGGGAGTGCGCGGAACAGCCAGTTCCTGGTGCAAAGTCTCCCCAGCTTGTAACAAATGCAGGCATATCTCCGTACAAAGCAAAGTAGCAATCCTGGCTCATTGCAACCGAACCAGCCGGAAATGATCTGTACTAAACCCAGCAAGCTGAGTGTGTAACTCCTAGCGGAACCACTTGGCCAAACCGGTCCTGGTCTGGTAGGTCTCTGTCATTTGCAAGGCCCGGCAGGCTTTGCAGAAGTGGATGGTCCAGGAACTTCGCTCGGACGGTTTTAGCCATGTTCGCCACTGGAAGTAGCGCTGGTAGCGCGCTGGGTCCTTGTCCAGCTCCTGGAGGTACTGGGTCAGGTCTTGAGCATTGGGAAAGTCATTAATGTGAATAAAGGCATCAGGCGGCAGAAATCGCTCATAGTTTTCTCGGGAGGGGCCGCAGACAACGGGCACGGCCCCTGAGCCCAGGGCATTGCTCCAGAGTTTCTCGGTGATGTAGTCCTCATGAAGCGAGTTCTCAAAGGCCAGGTAGAACTTGTACTGGGACAGGGTGGAGAAGTGGTTGTCCCGGGACAGAGGCATGTGATGGCTGCCGTATATATCCACGTGGAGGTATTTCTTCAGCTCCTCATAATACTGCACCCGGCGGGAGGCTGGGTTCCAGTTACTCACCGCCCAGGCCACCAGCTTGGACTTGGCTGGGATGCTGAAGTTCTGGGGCTGGCTGAGGACCTCCAGCCACCCGTAGGGAGTGAAGATATCAGAGTCCCTCCGGTATGACATGGTCAGGTTGAAGAGGTTATCCATAAAGCCCAGGTTAGGGCTGTGGCTGGGGGACTCCAGGTTGAACCAGATCCAGCGCTGGGAAGGGGGCCGTGGGCCTTGGGGCAGTTTCTTTGGGCTGGAGCACACATCCCTGTGATGCACAATCACAGCATTGGCATGGTGGTACCAGCTCCGGTTAGCCGTGATGTGACAGTCCCGGATGCCGAAGAGCTCGGAGCATTTTTGCAGAGCAGCAGGGTGCCCAAAGGGCCAGGTCCACAGCAGGATGGTCAGCTCCGAACCAGCCTGTGGAGCTGTGGGGTTGTTTCCAGGCTGGGCTGTGAGTGCTGAGGGATTGCCAGCCCGGGGCTCTGGGCCTGGGTCCCTGGAGGGCCGGAGGTAAGCAAACAAACAGAGGGCGAGTATGAATTGGGAGAGAATAAAGAGGAGGAGGTGCCTGCAGGCTGGGCTTTTCGTCTGCTCGCTGAGCGGCATTGCTGGCCTGGGAATGCAGGAGACACCAATGACGGAGGGATTAGTGATTAACGATAACTAAACATGGCGGGGACGAGCGGAACGGAACAATGCCACGAACTGGCACAGCTTGTTAGAAAGTGCTCACAGATCTGAAGCCCCCAATGAGGCAACATGAAGCAGAATCGCTTGCAGACTCACACCCAAGGGCAGACACGTTCTTTGGTGGGCCCACCCCCTTAAACCTGCCCCTGCTGAAATAACCTCATTAGGTATGATGCTGCACTTGTGGCTAGGAATTACCCAGAGCAAACTGGGTTGCTAGTCCTTTCCAACCATTTAGACCTTATCTACACTACAGGTTACTTCGGTAGAACTTGCATCTCTCAGAACTTAGACATAGCTTTTGCCTTTCGTGGAGGTGGCGTTATTAAGCTTTCTCCCGTCAGCTGAGGGTGTCGCCCTCACAAGTGCTACAGTTGTGTAAATGACAGGTTTCAGAGTAACAGCCGTGTTAGTCTGTATCCGCAAAAAGAAGAACAGGAGTACTTGTGGCACCTT